CACAAAACCTCAAACTAGCTGTACAATCTTTCCTGACGTATCGCCACCATATATAACGCGGCCCAACACTCACTCCATAATAAATGATTCAGATCAGAAAATCTCTAAAGACTTGTAAATAATCTATACACAGGTCATGAGGTGTTGGTCATTACGGGAGAAATTGAACCGACAAACGTCAATGGAACGAAGCAGTGTCGTATATCAGCTCGGTATAGACGTTCGAAGCAATGAGCTCTTACACACACACACACACAGAGGCGACTTGATTGTGTTTTATCGATCCTGGGTCGGGTGCGCTATAGTGTGACTCTCGCCTAATTGGTCCCCTTAAAGGAGCAACAATTACACATCAACAGGCGCCTTTATGTCGTAACACAGGTAGTTAATTGTACGTGGAATGAGAGGGGAGGGAATAAAAGAGAGAGGAAACATAAGGAGGGGAAGAAAAGACAGTTATCGGGAGGGAAAAAAGACGGAGTTTTCGTGAAGGTGAGAAGGGAAGAAAAGGAAGTTATCATGAGGCATCAAGAGAAAGTTATCATGAGAGAAGGAAGAAATAAAAGTTAATTAATTTATTCTGGAGAAAAATAGTGTACAGTTTGCCAGTAACAATATGGCAGCCAGTCTTGACCTGACCGAACGATAGTCCAACTAACTCTAACCTAACCTCCCACGCCCCTTCCACTCCCTCCCACACCCCTTCCACTCCCTCCCACACCTCTCCCATGCCCCTTCCACACCTTTCTCATCAAAGATAGATAGGCATTTACCTTCACAAACACCTACCAAAACTCTCTCCTGTTTGCCATCACACACACACACACACACACACACACACACCCCCTAATCCTCCATACACTGACTCACAAATACCTAATCAAAATTTTTAATCTGTATCATAATGGAAATGTCAAGGTGTGTATTCTAACAATAAATATGTCCCGTAATTGGTGCCAGGGGGTACGTTGAGTGAATGTAGTATAGGTAAGGTAGGGTGTGTGAAGTAATAATGGATTCAAGTACGGTAATTGGTTCTCATTTACATTACAATGCCAGTGTGTGGGTGTACGATTCAGATGTGCATGTGTAGATTAGACAGTCAATATGTACTGTACAACTCTAAATGTCTGTGTGTACATTATAACACCAATTTGTACACTTCAGGATAATTGTATGTGTATTTCATTAGTTATACACCTCGCATACACCGCACATACACCCCTCATATACACCCAGGCAGTCATATACACCATAAAAGAACGAGGAAAGGTTATTGGTTGCATGTCGGGATGTCCCTTGTGATTAATGTTTATCAATAATGTTAAAGTGGTAGTAATGAAGAAGCTTATTATATACTAGAGGAAGGAAGAACAAGATAGTAGAGGTGGGGAGTAATAAAGCCTTTACACACACACACACACACACACACACACACACACAACACACAACACACAACACACACACACACACACACACACACACACACACACACACACAACACACAACACACACACACACACACACACACACACACACACACACACACACACACACACAAACACACACAACACACACACACACACACACACACACACACACACACACACACACACACACACACACACACACACACACACAACACACAACACACACACACACACACACACACACACACACACACACACACACACACACACAAAACACACAACACACACACACACACACACACACACACACACACACACACACACACACACAACACACACACACACACACACACACACACACACACACACACACACACACACACCACACAGATAGACATGTGGCTTCAGATTGTTAGTTTATACCCTGCATTTGATGATGGTACTGGTGGTGGTAGTGTAAGTGTTGGGTCCTCAATGATGTGTGTGTACATGTCCCTCTGAGAGTTAACTTGTCTCACTTAAATTACAGCAGGTGGGTTCTCTAGAGTTCCTAGGTTCATTTTACCTTAAGCTACTACACAAGGATGGATTCTCAAAGGTTCCTCTCTTAATCCCTTCTACCGTTTGTCCTTTTCTTCCTTCTACCTTCTCTCCTTTCTTTCTTTCCCCACTTTTTCTCTCTCCCTTCCTTCCCCCCTTTCTCTCCCTCTTCCTTCCTTCTACCTTCTCTCCTTCCTTCACCTTCCCCACTTTCTTTCTTCTTCCTTCCCTCCCTCCTTCCTTCCTTCCTTCCTGCTTACCATCCTCCTCCCCTTCCTTCCTTCTTCCCTTGCTCTGGCCCGTGCTTAATTTAACTCTTCCCCTTCCCTCTATTGCTTCCTCTTCTTATGGCTGCGTCTTGCTGTCTCTTGATTACCTTCCTCTTATTCACATCTTCGTTCTCAGTCTCCTTTCCTTCCCCTCATTTACTGTAGAAACTGTCTGTCTATCTGTCTGTCTGTCTTCTTGTATTTGTCTGTCTGTTTTGTGTTTATCTTTGTTTGCCTGTCTCTATCTTTCTGTTTTTTTTTATTTTCTCTATTTATCTTTTTTATCATTCTCTCTCCATCTCTTTATCATCCTTATCCTTTCATTTGTCTATCTCTTTTCACCGTGACTTCTCCCCCTTTATCTCTCATTTCTTATCGTCTTTTGTAATTCCTCCTTTCCCTTCCCTGCTAATTCCTCTTTCTTTAATTCTCAATCTCCTTTATCTCTTCTTCACCCTCCTCCTCACCCTCCTCCTCCTCCTTCTTCTTCTTCTTCTTCTTCAGCCACTCTCACACATGACGGTATATATATATAAGGTGGTCATAATTAATTAGACAGGACGAACACCACTATCACACAACCACGACAAACACCTTTTAAGCACGCTACCTCCTCCTCCTCTTTCCTTCCCTCCCACCTATACCCTCTCCCCTCGCCTCTCTCTGCTTCTCTTCCATTACCTCCTCTCCCATTCATTTCACCTCTCTTCCGATTCTCCTGACCACCTCGTCTCTTCCTTCTCTATCGTCCTTCCTCTATCTCTTCTTTATTTTCCCCCATCTCCTCCTTTCTTCTCTCCCCTCTCTCCTACTCCTTCCTTCTCTTCCCTCCATCATCCTTCGGTCTCTCCTCTCCTCCTTCTCCCCACATTTCCCATCGTTCTCTCCCCACTCACTAAACTCCCCACCCAGCTTGATCACGGTGACATTTTCTGGATATTAAAGCCTTATCGTCGTGGCCCGCTCTTAACCCGCTAAACTGTGGCTTGGCGTCAGGGTGTGGATAGTGTGGATAGGAGCGTGTGGATGGGGTGTGGATAACAGGATGTGGATAGTATGAAGATTGGAGGGTTGTGGACGGGATTTGGATGAGGTGTGGATAGAATATGAATACTAGGGTGTGGATAAGAGGGTGTAGACTGCAATGATGTTAATGGGGATTGGGCGTGGTGTGGATAGAGCTGTGGAGAAGAGGTGTGTGGATGGAGGATAGATGGAAAAGAGAGATAACACGATGAAGCAGGATGGAATAAGAGGGAAAGACGGAAATTGAGAGAAGGACAAGGAGAGGAAGAGAAGACGAGGGGAGAGAAGAGAGAGGATAAAAGGAAAGAGGGAAGGAGGAAAATAGGGGAGCCTGAGGGTAAAGACAGACACACATACCCTCACATTACCATCAACAGGTTAATTAAGGCAGATAAAGGTACATCAGGTGTTTCATTATCGAATTCCCTCATTAAACAGCTACTTTAAACCATATACCCACTAACACCTGCTATTAATTACATACAAAACTAAAAAAAAAAAAAAAATCCTAAGAACGGGACGTCCATAACGCGGCTCATCCTCGTTAACAACTAGACCAATTAGCGCGTGTATACATTTACATACTGAATACCTGTCAATATATACAGGTAAATCCCACCCTCCCCCTCATCCACCTCCACCCAGAAAAAAAAATAGTAAATCCCACTTTAATGTGAGTTACAGTGTTTGGATTTGCCTGACCTGACCTGACCTGACCTAACCTAACCTAACCTAACCTACTAAACCTTATATATCCCAACGAAATTTTAAACCTAACCTAACCTAACTTAGCCTAACTCTAACCTAGCCTAACTCAAACCAAACCTAACCTAACCTAACCTAACCTAGCCTAACTCCAGCCTAACCTAATCAAACCGTGTCATCAATAAATACAATCCAATACAATATACAATTTGTAAAGCCATATTACCGCTTCAATTTATTCATGTAGTCTTGAACATAAGTTAGTGTAGCCATGTCATTATAATTGGATATATCTCATTTAATACACACTGCCACATAAATATACTTATTTATATATAAATATATATATTAGTAAGTACACAGACTGTAATTACGGATGAAATGAGGAGTTCAGGAGTTAATATGTAATTACTATGTTAATATACCTGGGCCATCATTAATCATATACACAGGTAATGACACTTCAACTTCACTGGAATGATGATAATTAACACCTTTTCACACCTCCATGAGTACAAAGTTCATCTCCATCACACGTGTCCGGTAATTAGAACACATACCGCAAACGTATTCACAGAGTTTTAATCATCCCGTTGTAAATTAATTTGCTGTAAACAAACACAAACTCTCTCTCTCTCTCTCTCTCTCTCTCTCTCTCTCTCTCTCTCTCTCTCTCGCCTTTTGTCGCCGGGGTTGATGGCGTTGCGGTACACAAGGGCTTCACTGTCACGCTCCCGTCAGGAAGAAGTCTGATTGCTACTACGGTCATTAAAACCAGCTAATTTACCGCCCCCCTGCCATTTAAAACCCAGTCGCCGCTATTAAAGGTGACAATATTGATAAAATTGCGTGCCTTCCCCTAGACAGTGGCCACGCCGGAATCTTAGCCTGGTGGTTCGAACTGGCCAAAACTTATCTGAGCGTGGCCACCTCCTTTACTAGACCACCACTTGCCCCGCACAGGAGCCCACCCCTCGCCCGCACAGAGGCCACCCTCGCCCAGGGGCGCACTTGCACAGGTACCACTTGCCTTGCACAGAGGCCACCTTGCCCCGCACAGGGCCACCACTCGCCTTGCACAGGCCTGCTTGCCCGCACGGCAGGGGTACCCTCGCCCGCACAGGGGCCACCACTTGCCCCGCACAGGCCCATGGCGTGCGTGTCAGCGTCGTGGTGGCTACACACCTGGTAATCATGGTCAACATTGGGGTCACGCCTGTAATTGCACACTAGGAGAGAGAGACTGGAAGGGGAGAAGAGTTATTGAGGAGAAAGCAAGAGACTAAGAGCTTATTAGGAAGAAGGGAGAGGGAAGGAAGAGGTCCGCACGACGGGGAAGTATTGAGACACTGAACCTCTCTCTGCCCTCCTGTTGGTCTTATACTTCACTGAATTTGTTAGAATTTACAAATGCATAAAAAACAAATATTTATTCCTCAAAAAAGTTTCTAACTGCTGACGTCATCACCGACAGCTGTGACGTCATCCCCAACTGCTGTGACGTCATCCCCAACTGCTGTGACATAACCCACCAACTGCTGTGACTGCATAACCAACTGCTGTGACATCAACACCAACTGCTGTGACGTCACACATTTTGTGTGTGTGTGTGTGAACAGTTTCCAGCTATCACAGGTTTTATAGGGGAAACAGGTTTTCTCTTTACCTCTATCAACAAAAATATTTCCTATTTTAATATTTTCCTCGATCACTTAGACTGGTAAAAAATGTATAAACATATATGCAGATGTATATGCATCATACATGAGCCATATACATAGGTACAGCTGCTTCCCTTACCCACGCAGTATACAGTACAGTGACGCTACTTCTGCTGTGGGTACTGAAAGCAGGTGTCGTCCCTTGAGGTCACTTATGGTTAGTAGCATCTCCCTGACATTTTGGGATCAATCGAGTGACCTTATCTTCCACTGAACCTAACCTAACCAAAGTTATCCTCCACTACTAAGTTTTTCTCACACACTAACTGTAGGTTCCTCTTAATTACGGCAACCACGTTATCATCAGTCACAACGTAAAGGTCTGGTCATGTGATGTATTCAAACTCCCGAATTAAGATGCCCGAGTGTAACTAATTATGATACAGTCTCGGTTCAATGTCGACGCCATTCTAGGTAATAAAAGTAATAATGATTGTTTTACTACTATAACTACAATAAAAAAATAATAATAGTGTTTTCGAGAACTTGGTGCATCAGATTAACAATACAATAGAAACAGAAACTCATGAAATCCATCTGTGTCGTAACAGAATGATCTGAGGAGTTAAAGAATAATTCACAATATGAACCTTTAGAATTCACTGTCATCTCTCTCTCTCTCTCTCTCTCTCTCTCTCTCTCTCTCTCTCTCACACACACACAGTGTTTACTCAACATTCATACTTCCCAAGCTCACCTATGTCTCCCCTGCCTGGTCTTCCTCCGTAAATGCCACACAGCGTAAACACCTAGAAAAAGTGCAGAAAAGGGCATGCAAGATTATTCTCTCCCCTTCCTACTCCACATATCAAGAAGTGCTCAACACACTGACCCTCTCGGCTCTCTCTGACCATCACCACGACCTCATCTGCAAATTAGGTGAGAAACTTCTGCACCATCCTCGACACCGGCTCCTACTACCACCCAAGGTCCCTCGTCCGAGAATTGCTGTTCGACACCACAACCGCATCCAGCCCATACGGGCACGTACTGATTGCTATAAGAACAGCCCAGTCCCAACCATTGCAAAAATTATCAATAACTTGTAATCAACCAGTGTATTCACTCCCAGTCAATCTTACCTTTTTACACTGTCACTATGTTGAAATGCCCTGTAGTATGACCTTCTCCCCACCTAGTCATTATATATCATATTTGTATCACTTATGTTACTTGTATATTATTTGTAAATCAAGAGACCCATTCTACAATTATGCAACTGTATATTTTCAGCCTTCCGGCTGCCACGCTCTTTCAATAAACCGTTAATTATAATTATCATTATTATTACACACACACACACACACACATTTTTATCATCTCTACCAAAGATCTCGTGACGTAACCAAATGTCTTCCTGAATTACTTGTGTCTGTCTATGTCGGCCCTCGTCGTGACCTCAGTGAAGGTCAGGTCAAGCTGGTGAATAAACTACCTGAAAACATGGTCAAGACAACTGCCTCCTGACCTATTGGACTGACCCAGCACCGGTTTTTAGTTAGTTTAACAAATTTATTGGCAAAGCTTGTAGTACAGTTTGCCTATTCTGAGTAATTCAGTCAGGTCTTGACACTGAGGGTGGTATCACTTCTCACTGCCACGCAGGACAGAGGTTCATACACAAAGAAATACATCATATTCATTAACAACTATAAATGTATAGAGGTCAGATTCATGTGGGTAATGTCACTGTTCACTACCATGCAGGACAGAGGTTCGTACACAAAGAGATGCATCATATTCATTGACAGTGTATATATATATATATATATATATATATATATATATATATATATATATATATATATATATATATATATATATATATATATATATATATATATATATATATATATATATATATATATATATTGATAAAACCACACGGGAAAAGGGAAACAACGGAGCACTGGTAGAGAGCTATTGTAAACTGAACCTTTTTTTTTAAATGTTTAATTATAGTTTCGTTGGATTTCCTATTTACCGGAAGTTTGATTTATTGGACTTCTGAACTACCGGACCTCCAATCTACTAAATTTATACTAAGACTTTCAAAATCCTGGAATTCCTATTTACCGTATTTCCAAACTCCCGGACTTTCGACTATGGGACTTGGAATCTTCTATATCGCTTATCGTACTTATGATCTACTGGACTTCATTAATTCTATGGACTTATAAGGACATTCACAATCAACTGGACTTTCTACGGACTGGGCACCCAATTAAAAGTGGATTTTGTTCATCCTGCCCTGCGATCACCAGAAGCTAACCATGTTTACCCAAGAAGGTCCTCACCTCACACCTACCAAATTGCTTTTACTTAGACGAGTATTGACCTAACTGGACTATGCACAGAGCTGCTGGAATATCCATTGAGTTTCTGGAATACGTACCGAATTGCTGGAATATGCATCGAGCTTCTGGAATACATATTGCTTTACCTTCCAGAACTAGACGAAGGCTCTCTGCTTCACCTTCCAGAACTAAGGCTCTCTGCTTCACCTTCCAGAACTAAGGATCTCTGCTTCACCTTCTAGACTAAGGCTCTCTGCTTCACCTTTCAGACTAAGGCTCTCTACTTCACGTTCCAGAACTAAGGCTCTCTGTTTCACCTTCCAGAATTAAGGCTCTCTGTTTCACCTTCCAGAACTAAGGCTCTCTGCTTCAATGTTTTCTTCTCAAAGGCAATACGATCCAGCACTTTGAACAATCCGAGATACACAGGATCCCAGCACCTAGCACTGCCTAGCACCCAGCACTGCCCAGCATTCCAGCCGGGTCGAGGGGAGGACACCAGATGATTGTGTTATTAATGCTACAAGGTCCCCAACCCTCACCTTCTCCGGCCACTCTCACCTCCCGTCACTCACACCTCCCGTCACTCACACTTCCCATCACTCACACCTTCCGTCACTTATATCTTCCGTCACATAAATCTGCAGTCACTCACACCTCTCGCCATTCACACCTCCCGTCACTTATATCTCCAGTCACTCATACCTCCCGTCACTTACACCTACTACCACTCACACCTCCCGTCACTCACCTGTTACATCCCCCGTCACTTATATATCCAGTCACTCACACCTCCCGTCACTCACACCACCCGTCACTCACCTGTCACAACCGTTACGCCCTCCCGTAGAGTCACTTTCCTTAACTCAAAGTTCTCTATCATTTCTAGAAGTAAATATGTAATACTCTCTTCCTACTGAATTACATATAATACAGACCTAGACACCAGATCACACTATAGGCCTAAAACACATAGGCCTATATCACGTAGTAGTTATATCCTATATCACACCATAGGCCTATAACACATATATAACCTCGTTACTCTATATCACGTCAAAAGACACATGATGGACGCGTTACTTCACCAAAATATCCTGCAATAGTCAACATGTAATTGAATATATTCTCTTGCAATCAGATCCTTTATAATGTCAACAGAGCTTTCATCAAAACCTAAGGCAATATTTATTGAGTTGTTGTAATAATATGTTATTGCAACCAGATTATATGATGTAATGTAGCTTAGTATTGCAAGATCACATTCTACCTGTTCTTTTTACGCTCACAGTTCAAGAGAGATGGAACTACCCAAACATGTCTCATCCAGGTATAATATTTATGGTAATGTGCGTGTATATTATATTTGTAAATATATATATTCCACACACACACACACACACACACACAAATCACCGTCACATAAAAACTAAACTACACACATCACCACAGAACAAAATTACTCTCTGGTAAAAACTCCCTCACACCAACGCCTTAAGTTAAATGCTTCTACTTACAAGACCCACTTAAGAAACAGTCACGAACACTACAGCAGCGAAAACCTTTATGTAGTCATTCTCACACACTTAGAAGATACTTATACACCATTTCAAGACATGCATGGCGACTGTGAACACGAAAGATATTTAATATAAGTAAATTCCTGCGACCGGTTTTAATCACTTATTAAATATTAAGAAATACATACACTTGGATTTTCATGAATTTTAAGTAAAATTAACAACAACAATAATAACAATAACAACAATAACAACAATAATAATAATAATATTAATAATAATAATAATAATAATAATAATAATAAAAATAAAAAACTACTGTGTATCCAACTACGGTTTTTGTATCATTAATCCATACTCCCTCCTTCTCCCCTTCCTAGCGTCTCTCCCCTCACTTACCTTCCTTCCTCTTCCTCCTCCTTGTACTCATTCTACTCGACCCTGTACCTCCTCGGTCCCCCAACTCCAGCAATTCTCCATGACTCCTACCTCCCCCCCCTCCCCCCCTTTCTCCTCACTCCCCCAGCAAGTGAGGGGAGACTGTGATCATTATTTATGTTGCTGTGGTGACGACGGACAGACACACATACACACTGCTCGCCAGGCTGTGACCCTTTAATCTATGATGAGCAGGTGTGGTCCTAGGGAGGGGAAGGTGAAGGAGAGAGTATAGGTGGTGATGGGGATTAAGGGAGAGGGGGTAAAGGGATGGAGGGAAAGGGTAGGTGGGGATGGGGGTAGGAGTAGGTTATGAGGGTAATTTAGGTTAGGTTAGGTTAGGTTAGTAATGATTTTATTAATTTTAGTTTGTGACAATGTTATGATTACCTAACCTAATCTTCCTTCCTTCCTTCCCTCCTTCCTTCTCCTCCTCGACCACCCCATCCACCACACACACACACACACACACACACACACACACACACACACACACACACACACACACAGAGATCAAATATTCTATTACAAAATGAAAATTGAGAAGAAAAAACATGACCCGATGATTTGATGTAAATTATTCACCTCTACGATAAAATTACTTATTACAGGTAGGGAACAGGTGAGGGAGAGGTAAGAAGGAGGAGGAGAAGGAGAGAGGGAGGAGTTGATGGGAGGGAGGGAAGAAAAGGGGGAAGGAGGTGGGGAGGGGAAGAGGGAAGGAGGGGAGGAGGAAAGGGGGGAGGAGGGAGGGAGAGGGGGGACACGTAGGTGGTAGAGTGAGTAAAGTAGTTCTCATGGATAAGACACTTTTTTGAGGTTAGGATATGGGAGGGTGGGTCACTGAGGTCAGGAAATGAAGGGTTAGACATGGGGGTGTAAGATATGGGAGAGATGTAGTTCTTGTTAGGCAGGACACAGTAAAAGGGGGGCGCACGTGTGGGGATATACTGCTTGAGGGTAAAAAAAAATAAAGGAGAGAGTAAGATAGGGTAGGACATGGGGAAGGAGACAGTTCTTATATGATAGGACATGGAGGACGGTAGGGCTTGAGGACATACCTGTAGGGGAAAAGACACGAGGAGGGACTGTTGGACATGATGGGTTGAGGACATAGAGGCTGGGACATGGGGGAGTTGGGGGGGTTGTTGGAGGACATACGAAAGACTTCAGCAACACAGGCAGGTAACTTCCCCAGTCAGCAATGATTACGGATATATTCAACTGTTCAATATTTTTTAGCGGCGTGGTTGAGAAGGGGCGGCGGAGTGGTTGAGAGGGGCGACGATTTGGATGAGAGGGGCTGCGGGATGGATGACGGGGTTTCTGCAGCATGGATGAGAAGGGGCGACGTGGGTGAGAGGGTGGACGAAAGGTGAGAGGGGCGGCAACGTGGGTGAGGGGGTGGCGAGAGGAGGGGTGGCGAGTGGAGGGGTGGCGACGTGGGTGAGAGGTTGGCGGCGTGGGTGAGAGGGGCGGCGTGCCTCCAGTATTCAGACCTTAACTAGCATGTCTTGCCAATTTTCCATCCCGGGGAATATCTATAGAGTCCAATTTGGTGAGAGGTTTTAGGTCCTGTTAGCAAACTCCGCCTCAGGCTGTCCACGACTGGTCAAGCTCCTGTGTGTGTGTGTGTGTGAGAGAGAGAGAGTTGAGGGGCATGTGTGAGAGGTAAGGGCGAGAGGTAAGGGCGAGAGGTAAGGGCGAGAGGTAAGGGAGAGGGGTAAGGATGAGGGGTATGTATAAGTATGTATATATATGTCTGTATGTATGTATGTGTATGTATGTATGTATGTATATGTGTGTGTGTGTGTGTGTGTGTGTGTGTGTGTGTGTGTATCAGGTGGTTAAAGGCAAGAGGTCTTGGGTTCAGCTTGGCCCTATTAACGTCAGGTCACGCCGGTGTCAGGTAAGGTATACAGGTACGTCACGATGCCACCTAGCGGCCAAGAAAACTCCAACCATCACCTGGACCCGACACCTGTTCTATTCCCCCATCTACGTATAACCCTAAGAATATACACCATTACAAACACCAATATTTACCCCATAATATGCTCCTTTAATTCAAGGTAATCAAACGCTGATATACACATGACATATATAGACCAACCCGTCGCATATATTCCTCAACTTAGCATAGGTATATATACTGAGAGATTGGACGTAATTAAAAGCCAACAGGAGGCCCATTCAGATCGCAGAGCTAACAGGTTCTCCCCCTCAGGTGCCTCGGAACTGGTCAATAGTTTGCCAATTGCCTATCAGGGAGCGCGTCTTTCTAGCCGGGCAGAGGAGAGGTGCCAGGCAGGTGGTGGTGTGGAAAGCAGGTGGTGAGGAGAGGGGATGAGGTGGTGAGGAAAGAGGGGAAAATAAAGAGGAGAAGGGAAAGGATGGGGTTGTGTACAGTGGAAAGGGGAGGATAAAGGGGTGAGGAAGAGGAAGGGAAAGAGGAAGAGGAGGAGGAGGAGGAAGTTGGTGGTGAGAAAAGTGGAGATAAAGGAAAAATGTAGAGAGGAGGAAGAAGAGTAGGAAGAAGGAATGAGAAGAAGGAAAGATGCTAAGTATTTTCCTCTCCTCCATTCCCTCCCTTCTCCAACACTCCTTTACCTCCTTTAAATCTCTCCCTCACCTTCTCCACCACACCCTCCCTCACATCTTTACTCAGCAGGGAGGGAGGAGGAGGAGGGGGGGGGAGGGACAGGAGAGACAAAGACAGCTGATAAATGCTAATTAGTAAACATAAACCCTAATAAAAAAAGAAGAGTGACGAAAGAGAACAAGGAGAGAGAGACAGAGAAGATGGAGTTTATAACAGCCAGGATGTCAGGATAAACGAGTGGAAGTGGCAGTCGGAAGGGGAGAGAAGAGAGGGTAGTTTATGGAAGAGGGAAGGGATGGGTGGACAGAGAGAGAGAGAGAGAGAGAGAGAGAGAGAGAGAGAGAGAGAGAGAGAGAGAGAGAGAGAGAATATGATGATAAAGATGGTGGATAAGGCAACAGCGATGGTGTTATGCTTAAGCTCTCCCTGGACCCTCACTAGGAACGCGTTGGTACCTTCGTCTCACCTTTCGGGGCTCAGGTAAAGCTTCCTCCTGCCCCCTCCCCCTCCAACCCCCTCTTCCCACAAACAAGCAAAGGTGCAGTAAACATAACAGTCTTCATACATATTCATCACACGACTCACACTCTCTCTCGCTTTCTTTCTGCCTTTCGTTCTTTCTCTCGCTATCTCTGTGTCTCCTCTTAGACCTTCCATGTTTATTGTTGGTCTTTGTTATTGGTGTTTTGTTAATGTTTTCTTTTTATTTATTCTATTCATGCTTTATCCTCTTTTATTTTAATCTTTATTCATGTTT